TTACATGTGTTTTGATAATTTTTTGTAAAAAATTTAAAAATATGTACCTTGAGCAAAAATAAATTCTTAACTTAAAAAGCGTTCATAAGGATATTGAATAAACCTGTAATAACCAACGCCAAAATTGGCGAAAAGGTCACCTCGCGACCCAATGTCGGGATATAATTATAATTTATGTTTACATTCAGTTATCGAGAGATAGCAGTGTACGTCATACGATTTATTGACGAATATCTCTATTGGAAGGTGATTAATAACAGGAGGGTTGGATAATATTTAATACCTTTTCAAATCTATATTGTTTATTTTATCAAACATCACACATGTTAAAACCAGGACGATCAGACAATTATCTTTTAATTACTAATACTAATAATATATTGATATATCTTACAACAATCCACCATAATACACCCGCCGTTGACTTTTTGAGTCTAAGGCCTGCCGGTTTCCTCACGATGTTTTCCTTCATCTTACGAGTGACTGTTAAATGCGGTGGTCAAAGTCCATTGCTACACAGTCGGGGGTCGAACCTACAACTTCAGGAATGAGACTCGCATGCTAAAGCAAACACCGCTCACAAATAAAGATACAAAAATGTAAAAGCATGCCTGTTTATCGTGCTTTATGTACTCTTAAGAATTATGTCTATATACACGAGTGGTGACTTTTTATTATTTCTTGACTTGTTTTGGCAACCGTTTGCTATCTGCGCAGTCGATATTAATTCCCTAAAAGCTATAATGGATCAGATGTAGTCTCACATGCATTAAATTAAAGCAAAAATTTATTTATTTATTAACACTTCGTTGCATATACATTAATATAGTACAATTGACATAATTAAATAAAAAGGAGAGCAACTGGCGGCCTTATCGCTTTCGAGCGATCTCTTCCAGGCAACCACTGTGAGAAAAAAAAAATAGTATTAAATTACATAAGGTAGGCAAGAAGTGCAAAAATACATGTATTACATAATATAGTTGTTGAGAAAACGAAACTAAACAGGAACAAAAAACAAACTAATAAAGGACACATGAAAAAAAATAACACCTAACAATAAAAAGTGCACATGAATCATTATAATTTAATTTAAGAATTTAATTTAAGATCAGTCTCACGTCAGTTAATGGGTATTATTAAAGTTAGGGATACGATGTGGACAGGTAATGTTTGTACAGAAGAAATTTAAAGGAAGATGAGAGAAGGAGCTAAGCGAATAGGGACTGGAAGTGAATTCCATAGCCTAACTGCAGGAACCTTAAAGGACTCGCCAAGAAAGGAGGAGTTATGACACGGAATTTCAAGGATATAGTTTTCGGAAGAGCGTAAGCTATAGTTATTGGATCCCAAATATCTTTAAATCATTTTTGAGATAGGAAGGAGTTTTAGGGTTGAACATAATGGAATATAAGAGATGGAGAACATGGGCATCACGTCGCTGACGAATGGGTTACTTTAAATATCAAACTATACACAGTTATGATTTGTTTGAGACATCGATCAAGATAATAAGATTAATTAGATATTTTTCACCACAAAAATAAAAAAATTACGAAAGTTAATTACTTTGTATATGGGTTATCAGTTCATCCTCAAAGTTCGATTCTCTTTATCTTATCTATAATAATATTAAAGAGCGAAGATGTTCGCTCCAAAACTCCTGGAACTATATGAAACATTCTTTTAGCATTAGACTTCTACATTATCTCTGATGAATATTGTAGTATATTTTCGATTGTGTTGTTAGTCCCAAGTCACTCAGTTCCTACTTAGATAGTGAAAATATTTTAATAATAAATATAATTTTAATGGTTTTTAATAATATATTATTTTAATAGTGGTAATAATTACCTAATTAGCATACTTGTGATTTAGTAGTTATTTTTCTGTCTTGCGTCAAATTTGAATTCTCTTGACATATTTAAACTTATTTAACGTAATTAATATAATACCGTTGTTCCACAACTGAGCATTTTGTAAGGCAGTCCCGCGCACCATCAATGTGGAACCCACTGAAGTATTTCCGAACCAATACGACTTTGGGTCTTTCAAGAAAAGAGCGTACCAATTCTTAAAATGCAACGCACTTGCGAGCCCTCTGGCTCAGGTGGCATCACGTGAGCCTCTTACCCGTTTACCCCCTGTTATAAAAATAAATACATTATTAACATCTAATCATATCAAATTATTGATTGGCACTTTCGCTGATTATTAATTACAGATTGTTAAAAAACATTCCAAACAACCAATTAAAAAAGTCTCGTTTATAGAAATTTGTACACTTATGCATGGCATTGGTTTGCAAAAAGAATTTGACAGCATTTCACACAAATGGCTTCACAATTTTTTAAATGTTTAGAGAACATGTGCCATTATGGAAGGTAATTATGACCGCATGTGGCACAAATGGTAACAACTGAACCAATATGTATAAGACGCGGAGTTTTACAGGGACAATCGCCTTTGTCTTGCAATTAATCCATTCTCATACATGTTACTATACAATACAAACCACTATGAGAAATATTGTTAAATGATATTAAAAAAAGGTTTGCCCACGGGCATTGCAGTAAAATCTATATCTAGAAACAAACAAACCATAAAAGTTAATTGCACATTTAATAGTCAAATAAATTAATACTTAAAGTCTTAACTAACAGTATTCTTAAAATAATTATGTGACAAGTGAAGTGTGTGTGAAGCTGTATGAGATGTGTAAGGGGTCAGTGATGTGTGTTCAGGTATATACACAAAGAAATTTTATATTAGCCTGCTTTGGGGCCGTTCAAGTATTACGTAAGCATATTTTCTCCAATTTATCCCCCCCAACGTCCTCTTGTCAGCAAAAGTAAGCAAAGCTCTCAATAATAATAGTACATAAACGTATATTTTATTGGAATCCTCCAAAATGCATTTCGTTTTCAAGCATAGTCAATGTGAGGGTAATATGTGTAATGAAGTAAATAATTATCTACTGTTGACTTATCACCAAATAAGAAAATCAAAGACGGTCCCCTATACATTGCGATTTGCGATGTTGCCTGACCTTTTATCATTACTATGAAATTTAATTTGATGCTTCTTACCTTGAGAGATAATGATTTATTTTTATTTTATTTTATTTATTGAGAAAGATGTACAGCTTATTACTTACTTACTAAATATATTGTATTTTTAACGCCATTAAACAAATCTTTACATATAGTTAAGTACTAATAATTAACTGGGTGTGTACAATAGGTGCATATTTTTTAGTGTATATATATATATACTGCTCAAAACAATTAGCGGAACAAGATTTTTCTCCTTTCTATTGCTTAAACTAAAATTAGATTTAAATTAACTTGTACGCTATTCTTTACCTTGTTAATTTGTTAATTACTACAATTAATAAAAAAATTCAATTTGTATTTTTTTTATTAAAAAAAAATTAAAATGTGCATTGTAGACGAAAAACAAAGTGACGTCTTTGAATTTTCATTACTTTATAATCACAGAAAACACATTTTAAGTAGTTTTTTTCAATCTTTTGAGTATTAATAGAAATTGAAGTGAGCCTTTTGAGTATTGTTATTCATTGAAGCGAGTGAGTTTAGGTCATAATGCCAGATCTGACTGAATTGCATGTCTCCCGAGCTATCGCTTTGCTTGAAGAGGGTCGAACTATGCGTTATGTAGGAAATGATCTAGGAGTAGCCCCTTCTGTTATCTACAGACTTTGGAAGCGATACCGTGAGACGGGAGAATACTCACGAAGGCGTGGTCAAGGTCGAAAGAGAAAAACTACACGTTTGCAAGATCGCTACATCGTCAACTGTGCTTTACGTAACCGCACCACAACTGCAAGAGATCTACAAAATACACTAAGGACGGCTACTGATGTAGAAATTTCCGACCAGATGGTAAGAAATAGGTTGTTGGAAGCCAATTTGAGATCACGCCGACCAGTTCGGGCTGTGCGTCTAACAATTCAACATAGACAAGCTCGCCGACAGTTCGCGCAAAATCATGCTAATTGGCAACTTCGACATTGGAGGCCAGTGCTTTTTACTGACGAATCACGATTCCGTCTAACACGTTGCGATGGTCGTCTCCGTGTTTACAGACGCCCAGGCGAGCGATACAGTGCAGCAGCAGTCCAGGAATATGACAAATTTGGATGTGGCTCTGTGATGGTTTGGGGCGGAGTTAGTTTGGACGAGCGCACAGATCTCGTCGTTGTTCCCGGGCGCTTGTGTGCTCGAAGATCATGTTTGGCCCGCAGCATATGGTATGGGCCCAGATTTTCTTTTAATGCAAGATAATGCTAGGCCGCATACTGCAGCCATCACGTCAGATTACTTATGACAGCAGGAAATCCGTGTAATGGAGTGGCCTTCCATGAGCCCTGACCTAAATCCAATTGAACACATTTGGGACTTGCTTGACAGGCGCATCCGGAAGCGTCCGATTGCACCTCAAACACTGCAGCAGCTCACTGAAGCGTTGATTGAAGAATGGGAGCGAATTCCACAAGAAGATATTCGGAGGATCATACGAAGCATGCCCCGTCGTTGTCAAGCCGTGATTAGGGCTCATGGAGGCCACACACGTTACTGAAAGTCACTAAAGACGAATATTCAAACGATATAAGAATATTTCTTTGATGGACCTTTTTTATCACCAATTAGTTTTTCGTCTACAATGCACATTTTAATTTTTTTTTAATAAAAAAAATACAAATTGAATTTTTTTATTAATTGTAGTAATTAACTAATTAACAAGGTAAAAAATAGCGTACAAGTTAATTTAAATCTAATTTTAGTTTAAGCAATAGAAAGGAGAAAAATCTTGTTCCGCTAATTGTTTTGAGCAGTATATATATATATATATATACACAGAGACACACCTTCTTAATAAATCGCGGGCTAACGGGCTGTTACCATGGTTACCATATTTTGGAACAAATCAAAGACCTCAATTAATACGGGTGTAATAATATTTACTATACATTTCAGATATATAGTGAAGAATGAGGGTGCGCGGGCGCTGTTCAAAGGCTTAGGACCGAATATCGTTGGCGTGGCTCCATCACGAGCGATTTACTTCTGCACGTACTCCCAGGCTAAAGCGATCCTCAATCAGCACATACCACCGGACACGCCTATTGTGCACTTGTCAGCGGCAAGCGCAGCTGGTGAGTCCAAATACATGATTGCTAAGCCTCCCGGTACTGTTTAAGAGAAGAGTCTTTTGGGGGTAAGACTCTGAAACGATACTTAGCGCTAATTCTGACTTTTCTATACTCTGATTTTTAATTCCGTAGAATTCTAACAGCTATCATTTTTTGACATGTCATAGATTACAAACCTTTTTGGCCGGGCCACATAAAAAGTGGTTTTACGGCGACTGATAATTACGTCCCTTTTCATCACAAACAGTAAAAAACGCACAAGTAAAGATAACATTTTACTTTTTTAAAAAGGTTTACTAAACCTGGAATTAGTAGGTAGTGATTCCAGCTGAAGAATAAAATAAAGTGATTAAAGTTAATGCGATATATTGTTCGTGATATTGATATTTGTTATTTTTGTATTAGGGGCACCTGAGTAAGTAAATATTAAGATTTACCCTTTTTGTAGGTAAAACATAAAAATACGTAGCATTTCATTTTATTGCTCTCAAATGGGACAAATTTGTCCCTTTTCCGGTGGAGAACTTTTTTAGTAGCAACACTTATGAAATGTCAAAATTCAGAATGAAAAATCAGAGAATACGTCAAAAAATGTATTGGATTTTGACATACGGGTGTCATACTTCCCGCTAAGTCTCATATCTGAATCTGATCATTGAAATAAGTATTTTTTTGTTTGAATGCATCAATCTCTAAACTACTGGTTCGAATTGAAGAGGTGTTCATAAAATATCTTCAATCATATCAATTTTTGTTTAGAAAATATCAATACAAATAACATTGAGGCTTTTTGACGTTTTTCTAATTAGTTACGAAAAACAAAAGTTATAGATGTCTTACATTATGCCATAAAACGAATGTGGTAATGGGCGGGGCATATAGCAAGCACAGATAAAAAGTGGACTTCAAAGACAACTGTATAGAAAGAAGAAGAGGGCGCATTAAAAAAAGGTGGATAGAAGTGTTAGCAGAATGGAGAAAGAAAGTCTTATAGAGAAATTTGGAAAAGCTAGAGGAAACCTTTACCCGTGAAGGGGTTCCGATCAATGGTACAGAAGAAAGATACGATACCGAGTGAGAAAAAAAAGTATATAACAAATCTAAACTTCAACATTTCTAAAGATAATATAATAGGAAATAAATGGGCTTTATTATTATTTACCATACGCCGTCTTTGTCAGTGGGTTTGCCAAAACCGAGCCCTCTCAATACATGGCAACACTCAGTGGACTGTTAAAAAAATTCTTAATTCGAAAACATACTTTAAAACTTAGCCTGGTTTCTTAAATGGTTACACTTTGAAGATTACAAATATGATATTTTTATCTGATAACGTGTCTTGACTTGAAGTAAATGCGGGCGCTTAAATTCTTTGCTACTAATATGTGATACTAATTTGATGTTTCCTAATGTCTATCTTTTAACCAATAGATAGGCGAAGACAGACTATATACGTCAACGTCAATTCGACTTATTCTTTGGTGTCATGTGACGTTTAAAAAACAAAGTTATATATCTGTGACCTTTTTGTGTCATGTGACTGACGTTATTTATATATGATGTGATAAATTAATGATTATTTACACCATAGAGGCCGTTCAAGTATTACATAAGCAGATTTACTGCAATTTATCCCCCCATTTATATATATAAATAATATAATAAATAGGAATCCTCGTAAATGCATTTTGTTTTCAAGCATAGACAATGTGTCGGTAATGTGTTAAAAAGTAAATAATTACTGTTGACGTAATCACCAAATAAAGAAATCAAAGACTCCCCTCACCCCTGTAGTGCTTAAGTAATTATAGCTTAAAGCTTTATATATGTGTAGTATTGAGAATAACATTTTATTTTTCATGTTGTTAATATTTAGGTAATTATTTAACGCGTTAGATACATTTTATGAAATCGTATAATTTACGTTGGGCCACGACATACATATTCATTACTAGCGGATCTGACAGACGATGTCCTGTACACACGTGATAGATACGAAAATTTCAAACCAAAAAAAAAAAACATCTGATTGTAAATGATCTGAGCAAATCTCGAATCCACTTGAACACTCAACTCAACAAAATCGGTCCAGTTGCTTATCCGTCAATTACAAAGAAGATTAATATATCTACAAAAACAAAAGACATTAAAAAACATAAGACATCAAATGTTTTGAAGCTAGAAACTTGGATTCTTGTGTTCCACTTTTCTGAATCAAGATTACGGTAGTATTATGATAACATTATATTATCGTGTCTGTCACTATGTCATGTCAAACAATTGATCTGTGACAAAAAATATACTTTTTTTTTTACTAATTGTTTCTTCTATATTATACTGTAATACTAACAAGTAATTAACGTTTCACCTAATTTTCTACAAATTATATTTAACATAAGAAAGTGTTCAATAAAACTACTTACTGTCAGCATTAAGGGGAAGACGCCTGCTTTTGGTTCTATTTTCCACTTACCACTTAAGGATCTGGTCGCCAAACTCCAAAAAAGTACATTTTTTTTTTTTTTTCATTTTTCGTCATCGTTTCTTGAAGTAGGGCGAATGGAAAAAATATATGGTGCAGTAGTTTATGTATCCATTTTGAAAGATCGATACACGATTTAAATAACTTCGCTCGATAGAAAAAAATCCAAACATAGCTAATTTTTGACACTTTGAATTCATTTTATGACGAAAATGTATATAGAACATGATTTTGAAATTTACACGATGTATTTTATCGCAAGCTAAGTAATCCATTTCAGAATTTGTTTTAATATAATAACATTAATTTAATGTTTTACATAACTAATTGTTATTACGGGCCGGCGCGCCTCAGTGCTACAGCTCTCCACTGCGCCTCGCAGTCCACCCCGAGACACTGACACAGCAATTCGTGCTGGGATAGGGCCTTAAGACTAAACTGCACTCACATGGATTCGAATAGTTTTGTCCTTATCAATAATATCTGTTGCCTATATATTTATAGAATGTGACTCAATTGGCAAAAAAACAAAATAATCAACTGTGGTTTGTTTGTCTCAATTAAAATTCTATTTCAGGATTTGTCTCATGTACTATGACGAACCCGATATGGTTCGTGAAAACTCGGCTGCAACTCGACGGACAAAATATCACAGCGCTGGAGTGTATTAAGAGGATATACGCAAAGCATGTTAGTATAATTTTTAATTAATTGCAATGTTATAATTATAAAGCGTTACTTGTATATACATAATGTAAAAAACCCAATTCGAGAAATTTCCACAATTTAGGGAGTTATTCATTTATTATTATTCACACTTCGTTACATTTAAAATAAGAAAGCAAATAACATAATACATAAAAATTATAAGGAATGCAACGGGCGACCTTATCGCTGCGATCAAGCGATCTCTTCCAGGCAACCCTAGTAAGGGAAAAAAACTAAAAAAAAATGAGATTAATGGCAATACAAAAGAAAAGGACATATAATAATTACACAAGTTATTGATCAGGATTGGATATGGTTAAGAACTGTTTATGTTGAGAGTTGAAAGGGATCAATCGTATGGAATCGGGCAGCCTATTCCACAACTTAATGGTGGAGATACTAAATGAATTGCCTAAGAAGGATGAGCTATGAGATGGAATTTCCAATAAGCATCTATTGTTGGAGCGTAACATATATGGACCTGAGAATTTGAATTCATTTTTAAGATAAGAGGGAGTACTAGTTTAATCAAAGAACTATTAATATTATCAAGAGGAAAGATTACATTGTTTGTTTGACTTTAATAGGCTCCAATACTACAGCGATTTAAAAAGTTGTTTCACCATTAGAATCCTATGTTATCCCTGATAAATATAGGCTGTAGAAGATTTTCGGTAATGTTAACTTAAAATAATAAATATAGTTTCCGTCCAGTTTTAATTTAATAGAAAACATCAACGGAATATCATATTATGTTTATTTTTTTCAATAAATTCAGCCGTGTGAAGCTGGGACTGAATGCTATTATTTTCTAATAATAATTTCATAATATGTGTTTTTAAATTATATTTAAGTTTTCTTTACGCTCTAAAAACGTTTTTTTAAATTAATCAGTAGTAGTAATAGATAAGATAGAAACAGTTTTGCACAGAGTAATACAAAGTTCACTTAACAAGTTTTTTATCTGTGTGTATTCATAGTTAAAGTAATATATTATTATAAACAATTTGTGATGTCTTGTGAAGGTTTCGCGGGCTTTTATCATTTTGTTTTAAATTTTGAAAACGATTTAGGACCTATCCTTGCATTTCTCGATGTTTCTTGATACTAAATAGTGAAACGCTGTTTTCAGGGTATCAAAGGTTTCTACAAAGGCATAACTGCGTCATACATGGGCATAAGTGAGACGGTCGTTCACTTTGTTCTCTACGAAGGTGTCAAAGCCCGATTGATGGCTGCCCGGAGCAAAGATGGCGTTGTCAGCGACACTCGTTCGCCGAGAGATTTCCTCGAGTTCATGGCTGCTGGAGCCTTTTCCAAGACGATCGCTTCTTGCATCGCTTATCCACACGGTAAGGCTAAAACTTAAACGCGAATTTATTAAATTATTTATAGTTAAAAACAGCGGGTTTGATAATTAACTAACTAACTATTTATTATTTACATGACACAAATTATATTATGATTACTGACAAACTATGGCATAAGAATATTTGCCAACATAATGAAAATTACCACTGCAGTGACCGCAACGGTTCTCTTTTCGCAGTCTCTTCTGACTGTAATATTTTGTTAAATAACGACATCCAATTTTCTCTGCAAATCTAATACTAATTTCACTAAAAAATTTAAACTCAAAGATTCCTCTCCATCATAGTTTTGGATTGTGCCAAGGATTTCGAGATAATAAGAAACGAAATTTATTATTTACTGACAATGACAGCGTTTTTTCAAAATATTTTTTTAGTCTTTGACCACCCCCCCACCCCTTAAATAGATATTTGGAAATATCTGAAACGTTTTGACATAAATAACAATTTCACTGAAGTTTATTTATGTATTAACATATTATTGCATTGATAGTACATATACAATCAGATAACATAAATTATTAACCAGCCTTATCGCTAACAAGCGATCTCTCTGAGGCAACTCTTGGAAAAAAATACTAAGGGTGGTTAACATGCAAACTGATTGCGTTATACCAACCGTTGTTCTGACTAAGCAAAGGTTCTTTGTTGTGTAAATCGTGAAACAAGCTGACTTACTAAAGTGAAGTTTACTACGAAACAATTTATTAAATATAACAGAATGTTACATGTAAATTCATTTATAGGTAAATATGTAATGTGTAAATTGAGTGACCTTCCCAAAATAACAAGATATTACATAACGTATTTATATATGGTTATTCAAAAATCAACTGACTTCATCAAGGCGCATACCCGACTTGTTAGGCGTTTCTCCATGTGGTGTGGTATTCTAAATTCAAATTTAAAACAATACGATCGAAAAAGATGGTAAAATGTATCAGGTTCGAAACTGCATAAAAACTTTTTACTCGACCTAATATAAATTTTTAGGTAGGACCAAAAGAAACTGAAAATGCAAGGTGGGCCAATAGATGTGTCCAGAAGTGTAGTTGTACCTATTTAGTAAAATGACAAAGTTGTAATCGCGCTGGAATATTTGTAAATAATGATTCAATATTTCTAGGACAGGCTTATCATTTGCAATCAGAGTTGACATACTTTTGATATCAGTCTTATAACATAAAGGTCATAGTGATCAGTTCATAGATAAGATGTTTCTAAGATTTATCTTTGAATAAATGTCTCTGGGCAAGTTAGTTGAGTTATTTGGAAATAATTGCAAAGGCTTCTAAAGTCTATTGTCTATAATGCTTATAAGAATTACAGATCATATTTTTATTATAAACGTGGACTAAAAATAGTACTATATTTTATGGAAAAAATCTGCTTTTTAGTGAGCAAATATGCATTTTTTATTGGAAGTTAAAGCCGGTCTGAAAAACCGTAAAAAATTAAACCTTTTTGTAAAGTTTTTTTATTGGCAAATAAGACTTTACAGTTACAACAGATTTAAGTTTATTTTAAAACGAAATCTGGGTTTTATACAACTTCTTAATAATTGTTACGTTTATTTAAAGTATATGGTTTTATTTATGTTTTCCTTTTTTCGTTGATATAATTGAAACCTTTTTGTAAAGAGGTGGAGTTTTGGAACTCTCTCTCTCTTTTTAATCGGCAGCTCATGTCTGAGTCATCTGGTTGGTACACGGCCACGTGATCTTTTGCCTTCTGTGTTACCAACCACGATCAGTTTCTCCAAGTTAGAAAAAGAAGTATAAAAGTAATGGCCATCATTTAGAAATATTTGATAATTTTTTTGCAATTCTGAATATATATAAATTACAAAATATTGCCGTAACAATACGTATAAAGAGTGTAGGGCTCACGCACTACTTCTAAGTTGTACGCGGCACACAGCTAGTTGCGTGCCAGTGAAATACTCGTACGTATACGCTATTGATGATCTTGATTTGAGAACTGGCAGTAAATGTAAAATTAGAAGCATTTAATGTATATTTCTTTTTTGACGTTCATAAGTACATTGTGTTACCTATATGAATAAATGATTTTTTACTTTAACTTTGACTATACATTGTTCAAACGCTGCTTTTAGTAGAATGACAATACTCTTTTGAAATATCTTGCGCATTATGATATAAGTAACTGGTTATCATTATATGCAATGGAAAATGATATGTAATCACTTATCGTGTTTAATTTTTATATTTATGATATAATTCGGAGATGACTTTCATATATTTACTATTATGACATGTAGTCCGAATATGTAAGTCATAATTATGTCATTGCTGTCAAAAATAGCATACTACATATAAATCTATATATTATAAACTAGCTGACCCGGCAAACGTTGTTTTGCCATGTATATTATTTCTAGGAAACATTTTTTTAGTTCAATAAAAATAACTATTTACTATAATAAAAATTCGGGTTGATCGTAGAGGGGTGAAAATTAGGGTATGTGTGTATTTTTGTATACAGCATAAAAAATAAAAACAAACAAATTGTCTTAAAAAAAAAATTGTGATGGACACGCCTTATATGCATTAAAAAAATTCTTAAGAATCGGTTGAGCCGTTCCGGAGGAGTATGGGAACGAACATTGTGACACGAGAATTTTATATATTAGATTTGGTTCGCCCTTAACACTTCATTTTTATATATTTTAATAAAATTTGTCCCTTAGTATCAAGATATCATGTAAGCTTTCTTTCTAAAACTTTTGTACTCACCCCTGTCTCCATTTTAATCGTTAATTTAAAAGCTTATGTTTGTACATTGTACATTTTGTTAACTTAAGTCGTGTTTAACGTAATTATTCTGCACTTTAGTTTAAAAATAGTTTCCCTATGGTTCATAGCTTTTTAGCGATAAGACCATTCGTTATTAAAGTTTAACGGTTGTTTATATTGAAAAAAAGCGTTAAATATATAACATAATGTCTTTTTTGTAGAAGTGGCAAGAACGCGACTTCGCGAGGAAGGTGACAAGTACAGGAAATTCTGGCAAACATTGCACACTGTTTGGATGGAAGAGGGATATCGTGGTGTTTATAGGTGAGAGTTAACGTTTTTAAACAACGATTTTATTATGCTTAGTATCATCAAAAACATTAACCCTTATTTTTAATAAATTGTCAACGATCAATCCGTTTCCGAGCGACTTCATCCCTTGGCGATGGGTAGAGCTGTGGGGTCACTCTGCAGCTTCTACCGCATTTGCCACGGAGTGTTCAGATGAGTTTCTCAGATTAATACCTGCAGCTGAGTTTCATTATCGGACGTCAAGGCAGAATACGAAAGTCCACTCGTATCACCCCGTCATTCTACAACTCAACGCTTTTGCCGCGCTGCCGATTGAACCGAACCAACTTAGGGTCCTTCAAGAAAAGAGCGTACCAATTGTTAAAAGGCCGGCAACGCACTTGCGAGCCGTGTGGCAATGCCCATCTCTTAACATCTTGATAAACATCCTTACCGCTTGCCCCGTTTTATGCAAAAAAGTCTTAAAAAGGGTAGGGTAAGGGTCCCAAAAATGTTGTAGTTATGACGTCAGATACTAATTAATTGCCGGAAAATACATCTTTTTTAATTATTTAATTTTTCCAGGGGCCTTGGCACACAGCTGGTCCGTCAGATACCGAACACAGCGATAATGATGTCCACATATGAAGCAGTGGTATATCTTCTTACGACACACTTTAATAGTTCCTTCTACGAAAATACCTAGCCATTTACCAAATGTTCGAGTTGTTCACGTTAGATACTCGAAGTGGCGAACCCACTGACAGTTAGATGCCATTTAGTTAGCGAGGCTCTGATACCTCTGGCCCCTGAGATCTTTTAGCCGTACGTGGTTGCGGAAACTATGAATAAATTTTGTTTGATGATTATATGTCGGCAACTTGTAAGAAAGCATGGTCACGTGATTTTCAATTTCTATGAGAAATTGTCATATCGACTTGACTTCTCAAGTAATATTCGCAGTAGGCCGTCACACGAAGGCTCTCAAAACTCAGATTGTAAGAGGAAGATCAGAGTTTAGTGGAGCCCTTTGGTAGGATCATGAAATTTTTGTTGTACATACATTTTTCAAGGTATAATACTCTTTTGGTTATGGAGTTTTGTTTCTATTGCGCTGTTTGTAAATAACGGTTTGGAATCTTCCTACAGCCGGCTACTTACTCGCAAGATAGTCATTAGGGTCTAGTCTAGTATCGAACACCATTCTGCCCGATGTTTGTGAGGCAAAATGGAAAGACTGCTGAAATAATATAATGTTGATTTACTTTTAAAGCTAATTGAAAAAAAAATTGCTGACTTCAACCGTCAACTGAAATGAAATATTTTTTATTAAACTAGGTTTCTACATTATACATGTCGCTTTCAGTGTAGATATTACAGAAATATATAAAAAAAACTATGCAACCGATTTTTATGAAACTTGGTTCTCTTAGTTGGAATATGCCCATTGAAATTAATTTGTGCCACCTCTTTTGAAGTTGGTTAAAATACTCTGTTAATAACAATTGGCATATTGAATACAACATGTCTGTTTATTGACTTAATTTTTTTATATTGTCCATTGATTGATTTAAACCAGTTGTTTAGTCATTTTGTCTCAAGTAAAATAAGAAAACTAAGGGATTTTTAATTATTTTATTTTTCGTGTTATTTTTATTATATACTGTTACATTTGTATAAGATTGGCTATGAGAAAGTAAATGATAGAAGGATAAAAATGGAGACATTCAATATTTTTATAAGATAACTCCAGCACAAAATATATATTGAATAACCTATATATAGAGGAATTCTAAAATCCCTTGGTTAAATAGTTAGTTGTGAGCTGTGATATAGCGCTTATGTTAGTCTTGTGAAGAATTGATAGATTCAGTGGTAATTTCTTTATATAAAAGGATTTTCTCAAAACATGGAACTATGTTTGCTTATATCTATAGTCAGCTTGTACTGAAAATTTTGATACTAAAATAAAATATCTCAACTTTTTATGAAGCCAAATAATGCTTGAGTAAATTAGTTTATATTCCTTCGATAAATAAGAAATTTTTTTTGAGTGATTCATATTTTTTGAAAATCCAGGATTATTTTTGTCATTCTAATCTTAGTGTTATGTTCCAAACTATGGATTGCATAGAATATATATTAATTTTGTAGATGTTGAGTTTTGTATGTTAAGGCGGGCAGATCCGGTTGTTAGAATATATTTTAGAGATATAATTGGACGTATGTCAGACTGAGTATAAGATACACTTAAATTTGTTTAACAAATAAATGATTAATAATATCTTTGTTTTATTTAAAACCTCTGTACTTTAAGAAGACTTGATTGTCCTAAAAACTTACTAAAAATATATAATGCATATGAAGTCAACCCCAATGTATTATTCATTTATAATTAAAAATAGTTTTGTAATAATAAAAAACTGTGACCAAATATTGAATTCTATATTTGCAATAGGAACACAATAATTACTCTGATTTTTAATTTTAAGACATTCTGTTGATTTGTCTTAAATTTTTACTATAACTTCAAATAGAACTAGATGTTTCTCATCAAGAAATTATTTATACATACAATAAATTTTTATCATAGAAATTTTGTTTACAGATACATAGTTAAATAATTTACAATCCATTTATAAAATAATTATTAAAATTTAAGAAAGCATAGGCTTCACCAGAGTTCTTATTGAAACATTCGAAATTATAACCCACATATGTGTCGAGATTGCATTCGGAGTTTCACTTGGGTATTTAAGAAATGTTGTAAGTGGGAAAAGATCTCCTTTGAGGGCTACTAGAGGTTCTCTCCTGAATAAGATGACTGAAATAATTATTACGAAACCAATGACCACTTGAAGTACTATATGTATAGTGCCCTTTATTGCCAAGCTTTTGCTTAATCGAGCCTGAGAATTTTCTTTTAATTCTGCTTCTAGCTTGATTATCCGCCTTTGAAGTTTGGAATAAGCAGCAAATTCATCTTTCATAGAAATTTGCTTTTGCTGACATTTAAGCATTACTATTTCATCCCATAGTTGGCGTTCTTCGTGCGAGGGCCTTGAGAAACACGCGACAATCTGAAATAATAACATATAGTTATAACGAACAATGCATTCTTAAACTAAAAATGTAAAAACTTTATGATTTACCGGTTTGACTAGAAGAGGAACTAAAGCACTGATAGTACATAAAACAAAGAAATAAACCAGAAGAAATCCATTTAAAACCTCCAGCATTGTATAAAAAATATTTTGATCAGTCTTAAATGAAATTAATACAATATTTAATCTAATTTATGTAGTCTACACCTTTTCACATAATAATGTTGACAGACGACACTGACAATACACAATAATTTAAGAATACCATTTGAATGTGTCCAGTGTCACTAGTCTTGACTCTTCTTGCCTTTACGTTTACTTTTGGTAGGTAGCGGAATATTCCTATTTGCAGTTTATTGCATAATAATAGCAATTCCTACCTATTTCTAATTATTTAGTTGTAGTATTCGGCAACTTGTACCATATTTTTCAGGGAACCGCCTTTGTTACTATGTACGCTATCCGTAGAATCGGCACTAAACTGTAAGTATTAGAAAAGTGTTATTACTTGAATAAGCCCTAATTATTTATACTACAATGGATTATTTGTTTTAATTGATATGTTAGAACTATTAAAACATTGTAGCAAATATATATTTCAGTCGGTTCGCAAACAATGTTCGGCAAAAGCACACTCTTCCTGACCTACCTTACGAATATAGCGCACTTGAGCCTGTCATCAGTCGCGAAATCATGAGCTTGCATCACAGCAAGCACCATGCCACTTATGTAAATAATTTAAATGCAGCTGAAGAAAAGTTAGCACAGGCTCAAGCAAAAGGTTTGATTTTTTAACATATGTATTTAATAACAGCTTTTAAAAAATTGTCTTTGCTTGTGGTTTTCTTACATTTAAATTAACATTGACAGCAGCAGACACGAACGCAACCTTGTCCTTAATGAGTGCAATAAACTTCAATGGCGGTGGACATGTAAACCATTCAATTTTTTGGCAAAACCTTAGTCCCGGTTCTACTCAACCTTCTCCTTCCCTTTGCAAAGCTATTGAAAAGTAATTTTAAAATATAAAAAGTAGATAAACTTAGTTTCAAGTAAAGTACATATATAACAAAATAGGATATCACAAGTATGATTCTAGCATACTTAATAAATTTATTTATATATATTTTTAATAAATAACTGTAGACTGATATAAAGTAATAGTATATTAATTTTTGTGTAATATTGTATCTCCAGGTGACATTCAAACAGTCATCACCTTAGCCCCAGCACTTAAATTCAATGGAGGTGGTCACATAAACCACACTATTTTCTGGCAGAACCTTTCTCCCAAAGGTGGAAAACCATCTGATGCCTTAGTTCAGGCTATTGAGAAGTAAACACATCATATAATTAGAATGCCATGGCTTGAAAAACTAATTCTTTTGCTTAAATGTTTTGCTCATTGCTTGATTGTTTGAATGCTTCTTATCTTATTTTTCATTTAGAAATAGTAGTTACTTATAAAATTTGGCTTGGGTCACATAGACTAGACTCATTTGAATACTTATTTATATAAATACCTAATACTTTTAAATGTAAATGCTCTATAGTGTAATATGTTTTTTAATCTTGTTAAGAAATGGATTAGCAATTAATTATTTGCCTTATTACAGAGACTTTGGTTCTATGGAGAACATGAAGAACCAATTAGCTGCATCATCAGTTGGTGTCCAGGGTTCAGGCTGGGGTTGGTTAGGTTTCAATAAACTGACAAAGAAACTAGTAATTCAGACATGTCAAAACCAAGATCCATTGGAAGCAACCACTGGTAATTTTCATCTTTCTATTTAGGCAGAACTTTATCTGTATAAAAATAAATATTTTTTTTGGCATCTTATCCTATATAGCCTTTTAAATTTGTATTAATAAGATGTTTGTTTTGTAACAGGGTTGGTGCCTCTTTTTGGAATTGATGTGTGGGAGCATGCTTACTACTTGCAATACAAAAATGTCCGTGCTGATTATGTAAAAGCAATATTTGATGTGGCTAACTGGCAAGACATCTCATCAAGATATGAAAAAGCTCTCAAGTGAATAATCTCAGCATTTAGAAAGCCTTTAGATGCAAAGGCATAAATTTTGGTCACTTAGTGATTCGAATTGCATTATATAGTCTGCTATTGTGATGCCTTTATAAGTTAAAACCTTTACATTTTTGTTAATTCTTAAATATAATTTTGAAAAAATTATTGTTAATTTGTTTACCTCCTATAATTAATTGGATTGTAGTTTAATATCTTTTCAATTATGAGATATTTTTTAATCAAATGAGCCTACGTGATCCATAATGGGCAGTCATCGCAGCCCATGGAGACCCATTTTTTGTTGCTGGTGTTAGTTGTTTACGAGATGGTTACTTTGAACAGTCGGGAGTTGTATCTCTCAGGGAAGTCCCCACCGGGAGTCGATTCCACAGCTCGCTAGTTCGCAAAAGAAAATGTCTTGTGACATTGGAAGACTTCCTACTAGCAGGTAATGGAAGTTAAAATTAATACGGCTCGTACGGTGTTGAAACGTGGCAGGAGGGATCAACCCGAACAATTCTTCGGGTACCATAGTACACTTTTATTTTTATAAACGGGGACACCTACATCATAGCCTATTAGGCACGCCATCAGGCAGATATGTGACCGAGAAGCTAAGCAGCAGGGGACTGTCCAAACGTGGGTGTTTTCCTAAAAAAGGACTTTATTAACTTAAAGGGTTGGCGTCTCCCGCCGAGCCCGGGCGACGACTACTCGAAAATATCCTCATATTATTTATAGCGAGTCGGTGCCCGCTACCCGCATTACCTCTCGTACTATTTATGTTAGTGACATATTTGACAATCTTGCAGCAGAATTTTTCCAGTTGCGATTTGTGCTCAAGCAACATGTCGGATAGCCCATGATCATAACAGTCTCGAGCTCCAGATCGCATACCATAGTACACTTTGTAGAAAACGCATAGAGACGCAATGTCTCTGCGAGAGAATTAAGCCGATCAGTAATACGTTGCATATTGATAATTCGCTAACTTTTGGTAAAAAGAAGCTGGTATTTGGCCAGAGCAGCAACTCTGGAGATGTGAGCAGTATTCCATACGAGGTACGTACTTGAGCCTTGTAGAGCTGGTTACGTTGTACCTCAATGAACTATTGCTTAGTCCTACCGAAAACACCCAGCTTTTTGAAAGCCAGTTTGGCTTTTTCTTCCAGATGACTGCGAAATTGGACTTCTTTTGATATGTCAACTGCAAGGATACTGAGGCTGTGTGAAGTACTAAGGAGAGGGCTTTCAACTTGAGGAGACACGACAAAAGGCTCTTTCTTGGCTGAAAACCAACAGACCTGAGTCTTTGTATGGTCAAACTTCACAAGGTTGCTACTACCCCACACAGAAACTTTTTCCAGTATAGTTTTTTATTGATTTCAGATCGAGACGGTCTTGAATGGTCGGAATATAACGTGTTGATGGTGCTGTCGTCTGCACAGCAATGAATGTTGACGATATTCAACAGGTCATTGATATGCAGATACGGACAGGGTGGGCGAGAAAACACACTGCATTGGAGCATGCTCCGTGAACTGGAATTTTAATGCTACGTTCTACAAGAAAATTCACAGCTTCGGCCCACCTATGAGTCAGATAGGCAGAAAGATCACCAGCCAAGTGACCTCGGCGAAAGCCATGCTGATGATCACTAATTAGCTGGTGCTCCTCCAGATATCGCAAGAGCTGCTTAATGATAAAAGACTCCATATATATTGTGGAAACTATGGTCATATGAAATTATAAAGATCTCTATACTCTGTGATAAAAATAAATTTCCTGTGGTGAAACGTAGTTGAATGTCAGTCATTGATGTCTAGAAATGTCAAAACAAAATTGAGTAATGTATGTCTGTCTGAACTCTGATGTCAGTTTTTCATTAATCGCTGCGTAAGAATTGAGTGTGAAATAAATAAATATTAAATTTATTATTGTGTAAACTCCAATATTGTTAACAGAAGCTTCGTCTAAAAGGTTCACGGCCATCGATTGAATTTCCGTAAGTTGACTTTCGTTATCATTTAACCCTTAATCTTTACTAAATAAAACAACGAAGGCCCATGTTATTGATTTTTCATTCTCCGTGTTCAGTGTCGTTTTCGATATTTTACGAAGGATTTCTTTAGCTCATCATTTATTTAATTAAACTATTGCCAAAATTATTCATATCAACTACAAAAAGTCTTTGTTTAGCAATATTACCATTCGTGTATGAAGGTCGCTTATTAGGAAATTATATTACTGCAACATAATTGCAGTTAAATATTTGGTTTTTATGTACTGAGATTTGTTTTAATTACTAGGAAATTGTATTTAGAACAAATCAAAATATTTTAAATATCTATAATATATTCAATAACATATATTAAGTAAATATATGTTAATAAAAAGTTGTATGAAAAGTATCTGTTAGTACCTACCCAGATCTATAGATAAAAATAGATGTTAAAAATTAATATTGAATTTAATCTATAAATAAACATTAATCTAAAATGTCAATTTTTTTAATAAGTTACATGATCAGTTTTATGAACAATGCACTATGCCTTAACATAACAAAATTAAGACAAGATTTTTTATGGAATTTGTAATTTCTTTAAAGGAAACTCCTACAGTGCACTCAAATAACGGCATCTTATTAGTTTAACATGCAATGTTTTGACTGCATGCAAATATATATATGGGTGAGGACTGAGGCATGTTATTTGGTAGGGGCTCCTAACAGCTGTTTCACAAAATAAAGGCCATTATTGGGATAGGTCAGGTCTGAAAGGAAGCGAGATGTTCTATATTTGACATTATATGTTAGTTTTATAACTTAGCACAAAAATAAAAGTGGCAATGGGCGGTCTTTTATACATGGAATGTTTTGCGAAAAATGGGAAACTCATTAGTCTAAAAATTTAATCAGTGTAAAAAATATATCCTATTTTAAATTATAAAAATATATATATTAACGCAAAAATTATCACAACCAGGAGTAGAACAAAGATTATACATATATAAAATTGTAAAATGTTTTGACAGTCAAGATGATAAGTAAATTTCTCCAAACGTAAAGCTATAGACAAATATAGAATTATTAGCCTAAGCCAGTTATAGACTACATAGAAAAATAGATAAAAGTGTTTGTTAATAATTTGAATGAAAAAGCTATGGGTGTCTATAGTGTAGTACGGGAGGTAGCAACGTTTTCGAGAAAGAATTTCAGGTCAGCTGATTTTGTGATATGTCTTCCTTCTTGCACTTCCGGTTAGAGTCTGGGCAATCTGGCTGGCGGTAGTGGTTGCGTTCATTAGTGCGCATCCTATCTGTCCAGGTAAAAATCCTGGATTTTAAAAGCATTTTAAGAAGCGTAATTTTTAATTTTTCGTTTTTAAATACGTCTACCTGACATACTTTTTTTATTGCCAGACATTTTTCACGTTGCTAACTATGTGCCAGACGCGATTTTAAGTTTTATTTTTATGAAAATTTCAAAGCATTTTAGAATGTCTGTAATTTTAATATTATGTTATTGAAATATAAGGAAAACTGAAAATGAATTTGCCAGACATTAATTCGGTTGTTAAGTCTTGAATTAAAATGATAAAGTTTTGCAGTATGATGAAGCATTGCATTTTAAGAAGCGTAATTTTTGATTTTTCCTTTTTAAATACGTCTACCTGACATACTTTTTTTTATTGCCAGACATTTTTCACGTTGCTAACTATGTGCCAGACGCGATTTTAAGTTTTATTTTTATGAAAATTTCAAAGCATTTTAGAATGTCTGTAATTTTAATATTATGTTATTGAAATATAAGGAAAACTGAAAATGAATTTGCCAGACATTAATTCGGTTGTTAAGTCTTGAATTAAAATGATAAAGTTTTGCAGTATGATGAAGCATTGCATTTTAAGAAGCGTAATTTTTGATTTTTCCTTTTTAAATACGTCTACCTGACATACTTTTTTATTGCCAGACATTTTTCACGTTGCTAACTATGTGCCAGACGCGATTTTAAGTTTTATTTTTATGAAAATTTCAAAGCATTTTAGAATGTCTGTAATTTTAATATTATGTTATTGAAATATAAGGAAAACTGAAAATGAATTTGCCAGACATTAATTCGGTTGTTAAGTCTTGAATTAAAATGATAAAGTTTTGCAGTATGATGAAGCATTGCATTTTAAGAAGCGTAATTTTTGATTTTTCCTTTTTAAATACGTCTACCTGACATACTTTTATTATTGCCAGACATTTTTCCCATTGTTAACTATGTGCCAGACGCGATTTTAAGTTATTTTTTATAAAAATTTCAAAGCATTTTAGAATGTCTGTAATTTTAATATTATGTTATTTAAATATAATAAAAACTGAAAATGAATTTGCCAGACATTAATTCGATTGTTAAGTCTTGAATTAAAATGATAAAGTATTGCAGTATGATGAAGCATTGCATTTTAAGAAGCGTAATTTTTAATTTTTCCTTTTTAAATACGTCTACCTGACATACTTTTTTATTGCCAGACATTTTTCACGTTGCTAACTATGTGCCAGACGCGATTTTAAGTTTTATTTTTATGAAAATTTCAAAGCATTTTAGAATGTCTGTAATTTTAATATTATGTTATTGAAATATAAGGAAAACTGAAAATGAATTTGCCAGACATTAATTCGGTTGTTAAGTCTTGAATTAAAATGATAAAGTATTGCAGTATGATGAAGCATTGCATTTTAAGAAGCGTAATTTTTGATTTTTCCTTTTTAAATACGTCTACCTGACATACTTTTATTATTGCCAGACATTTTTCCCATTGTTAACTATGTGCCAGACGCGATTTTAAGTTATTTTTTATAAAAATTTCAAAGCATTTTAGAATGTCTGTAATTTTAATATTATGTTATTGAAATATAAGGAAAACTGAAAATGAATTTGCCAGACATTAATTCGGTTGTTAAGTCTTGAATTAAAATGATAAAGTTTTGCAGTATGATGAAGCATTGCATTTTAAGAAGCGT